ATGACTTGCACTCGTCCAGGTCTCGCATACCCTCTCAGCATCCTGCCACGCTTTGTGGCCACAGGCAGACACCGACCACAGCACTGGTCGGCCGCTAAGAGGGTTTTGCGTTATCTAGCAAGTACATCGGGCATGGGGTTAGTGCTGGGAGGATGCAGGCCAGTGGTCCTTGCCGGGCACACAGACGCTTCTTGGGCAGACGACGCTGAAACCCTCAGGTCCTCCCAGGGCTACTGCTTTAGCCTTGGTTCAGGTGCCGTCTCGTGGAGGTCCACTTGCTCCTCGTCTGTTGCACAGTCTAGCTGTGAGGCTGAGGTCTATGCCGGTACCATGGCGGCACAGGAGCTCCGCTGGTTAACCTTCTTGCTCACCGACTTAGGTGAGCGGCCTAGCTCTGCCCCAGTTCTGTACGCTAACAACAGGGCCATGATCCTCCTGTGTCAGGAGCCTCGACTTGAGGGCAGAGCGAAGCACATCCAGCTGCGGTACTTCCTCCTGCACGAGCTACAGCATCGCCGCCAGGCCCGCGTAGTACACTTGGCCTTCGGTGCCAACACATCTGGTATCTTTACTAAGGCGCTTGCGCCTAAAGATCATCAGCGGCATTGTTTGCAGCTTGGTTTAGTTCCTGTAGCTCCTCACTTGCTAGGACCTTGATTGTGTACTCCTCTATATATATACCTTCTTGGCTGGCCTTGTGGCTTTTGTTCTAGTGGCCGGACTAGTAGTGCCGCCCTGGTTTGCTCTTGTTGAGTTTGTATTCTTGTTGTCTGGTCTTCGGACCCCTACCTCAGAGGTCGGACTAGTAGTGCCACCCTGAGTTGCGTGTTTCTTGCTCACCACTGCCCCTTATCTAGCCTAGGGGGTGTGTCAACTTATACATATATTTATATGTACTGGCCTCTGTGAAGGCCGAGCTGCTGAGGAGACACACCTGCAATGACCTAGGAGAGCTGTGCCGCTACCTTGGCGTGCAGATCCCTAGGGACAGAGCAGCGCACACCATCACTTTCACACAGTCACACTTGGTGCACCAGGTCCTTTAGAGGTTCGGTCTTTAGTTCTCCTCTGCACAGCCCACACCTTTGCCAGTAGATCACAGGCTCTCTGCTCCAATTCCTGAGGAGTCAGTAGAGCCCAGTGGTCCTTACATAGAGCTGGTGGGTTGCCTCACGTACCTGATGACTTGCACTCGTCCAGATCTCGCATACCCTCTCAGCATCATGACTCGCTTTGTGGCCACAGGTAGACACCGACCACCGCACTGGTCGGCTGCTAAGAGGGTTTTGCGTTATCTAACAAGTACATCGGGCATGGGGTTAGTGGTGGGAGGACGCAGGCCAGTGGTCCTTATTAGGCACACTGATGCTTCTTGGGCAGACGACGCTGAGACGCTCAGGTCCTCCCAGGACTACTGCTTTAGCCTTGGTTCAGGGGCCATTTCGTGGAGGTCCACTCGCTCCTCGTCTGTTGCCCAATCTAGCTGTGAGGCTGAGATCTACGCCAGTGCCATGGCGGTACAGGAGCTCCGCTGGCTGACCTTCTTGCTCGCCGACTCAGGTGAGCGGCCTAGCTCTGCCCCGGTTCTGTACGCTGACAACAGGGCCATGATCCTCCTGTGTCAGGAGCCTCGACTTGAGGGCAGAGCGAAGCACATCCAGCTGCGTTACTTCCTCCTGCACGAGCTACAGCAGCGTCGTTAGGCCTGCGTAGTACACTTGGCCTCCGGTGCCAACACAGCTGATATCTTTACTAAGGCGCTTGTGCCAAAAGATCATCAACGACACTGTTTGCAGCTTGGTCTAGTTCTTGTAGACTCTCACTTGCTAGGACCTTGATTGTGTACTCCTCTATATTTATACCTTTCAGACTGGCCTTGTGGCTTCTGTTCTAGTGGCCGACTAGTAGTGCCACCCTGGTTTGCTCTTGTTGAGTTTGTTGACTAGTCTTCGGACCCCTGCCTCAGAGGTTGGACTAGTAGTGCCACCCTGAGCTGCGTTTTTCTTGCTCAGCACTACCCCTTATCTAGCCGAGGGGGTGTGTCAACTTATACATATGTTAGTATGTAGAAGTTATAGTCTAGATAGGTGTATGTTCTTAGAGAGTACAACTCCAACCCTATATTTCCCTTGTTCACCCTTGTTTCTAGTCATTCTAGTGTTCTAACAAGAATCGCACTTTACAGATTCGCGCGCGTCTGAAAATTTGGCGCCTGAAACGAGATTTAAAAACATACCTTGAATCTCGATAATCCCAATCTCGCGTCACAGCACACGGAACCGCACTAAACTGTTTCGCGTCAAAATTACGCGACACTGTAGCGTGCGAGTCTGGGACGAGGTTGGGCTGGGAAGAGGCTGTAGGAATACGCATAAGAGTGTGTTCCTACGAGCCTCTTCCCAGGCAACCTCTTCCTAGACTCCCGCGTGACCTTGAGAGCGTGTTCCCAGAACCACTTTTAGAAATACTCCCGTTTCATATTTGCGTTCCACCGCTCTCAACCACATAAAACCAGTTGGCGTCGAAAATTTACTGTGCAGATTTGCGCTTGTCTGAAAATCTGCTCGTCTGAAAAGAGGTTTTGTAACACACCCCTGAATCTCGGGAAGGCGAATCTCACCTCGCACTTCGCGGAATCGCACTGAAACATTTCGCGTCAAAATTTGCGACGCTGTAGCACACGAGTCTGAGAAGAGGTTGCTTGTGAAGAGGCTGGTAGGAACATGCTCTAAGGCCCCATGTATCCACATTCCCTAGGGAAAGCCTCCCTAGTACCCTCCCTTGAGAGAGAAGAGGTTCGACAGGGCTATCCCAGTGCCACGACACACCCCCCCAGTGGGATAGCGTGCACACCAGGAATTGAACCCTAGATCGCTTTGATACCATGTTGAGATAGCTAGGAACTAGGAGCTAGGCATAGGAGCATAGCGTGAGGTTTTAGGCGAGAGAGAAGAGGGTTGGACTAGGAGAGAGAGGGATACAAGAAGGTTGTACCCACTACAGTAGGTTCCAATAACACCTACCAAGCCTACAATTATATATATGTATAATATATATAATTTAACACACCCCCTAGGCTTGGTAGTAGAAAGCACACCACGCACTGAGCACACTAAGCCACACACCCCTAAGCCTAGTACCCCCATACTCAGCAGCAGCGATGGCTTCTCCAGCATGGTCAACCCTTCGGCGTGCGAGGCGACGACGTCGGCAGCGAGGGCTGCGGCTGCAACGGCGGCGATGACGGCAGCTGCGGCGGCGGCGACTTCGACGACAGCAGCGAAGCTCGCAACACTCGGCGGCGTGGCCTGACTCCGCGACGGTGGGAAGGCCCGCGCGAGTCAGCCGTCAGCTGCGGCGAGGAAGAGGGGACGCAGGGGAAAGGGGGCGGGGCTTCAGCAGCGGAGCCAGGGAGCGTGCCGCCCGTGTGGCGCATTGGCTGCATGCGGGTGTGCTGGCCAGCACTAAGGCTGGGCGCTGGCCGCTGCCGCCCGTGCCGTCCGTGCGCTGGCGCGTTGAAGCCGCCATGGCAGGACGACGACACCGTCGCAGCAGCCCGACATGGCCGTGGCGGCGGCGCATAAACGGCATGAGGGAGAGTGAGGGGCGAGTGTTGCGGAAGAGTGATGCGCAGGCCCGAACAGAAGGACCCGCTCTGGTACCATGCTGAGATAGCTAGGAACTAGGAGCTAGGCATAGGAGCGTAGCGTGAGGTTTTAGGCTAGGAGGAAAAATATTGAGAGAGAAGAGGGTTGGACTAGAAGAGAGAGGGATACAAGAAGGGGGTTGTACCTGTCAAAGTAGCTAGCTAGGAAGAGAAGCCATGGAATGGCGTGGGGGTTTAGGCTAGGAGAAAATGTCGAGAGAAAAGAGAACTTTGAAAAGAAGAGAGAGGGATACAAGAAGGGGGGTTGTACCATCTACAGTAGGATCTAGTATCACCTACCAAGCCTACCATTATATGTGTCAAATATATATTTTAACACACCCCCTAGGCTTGGTAGCTGAAATCCCACCACACACACAGCACACTAAGCCACACACCCCCTAAACCTAGCACCCCCATACTCAACAGCAGCAGCGGCTACTCCAGCAGAATCAGCCCCTCGGTGCGTGAGGCGGCGCCGTCGACAGCGAGGGCAGCGGCTGCAACGGCGGCGACGACGGCAGCGTCAACAGTGGCGGCGGCGGCGGCGTGGCCAGCGGCACCAGCTGCGGCGGCGGCTGCTTCGACGACAGCTGCCTGCAGCGGTGGAGCTCGCAGCACTCGGCGGCGTGGCCGGGCTCCGCGACGGTGGGACGGCCGGTGCGAGTCAGCCGTCGGCCGCGACGAGGAAGAGGGGACGCAGGGGAAGGGGGCGGGGCTTCAGCAGCGGAGCCCGGGAGCGTGCCGCCCCGTGTGGCGCGCTGGCTGCATGCGGGCGTGCTGGCCAGCGCTAAGTCGGGGCGCTGGCCGCTGCCGTCCGTGCCGTACGTGCGCTGGCAGCACGTCGCCATGGCAGAACGATGGCGCCGTCACGCCGCCAAGGCTCGACGTCGATGACGCCGCCACGGCTTGACGCCGACGCCACGACAGCGCGACGCCACGGCAGCGCGTCGAGACGGCCACGGCAGCACGACGCTCCCAGCGGCACGACGACGCCGCCACAGCAGCACGATGCGGCCGCCATGGCAGCGCGAGAGAGAGAGAGAGAGGAGGAGTGAGCGGCGGAAGCGTGATAAGCAGGCCCAGGAAGAGCAACCTGCTCTGAAACCATGTTAAAGTAAGCTATGGAATGGAGTGAGGTTTAGAAAGGAGAAATGCCGAGAGAAGAAAAAGGGGCTTTGAAAAGAAGAGAGAGGGATACAAGAAGGGGGTTGTACCCTCTACAGTAGGATCCAGTAACACCTACCAAGCCTACCATTATAGACATCAAATATATAACTTAACAGTACCCTCTTCAGTATGTTCCAGTAACACCTACCAAGCTTACAATTATATATATAATATATATAATTTAACACTACGGACTGTAGAGCATGCAAAGTTTGAATGTAGGTCATACAGAAATATTCACCCTAACAGCACATTCCACATTCTCCATGGTAGTGTATTGGTACCGAATATGGGTGCTTGAAAAACTGAATTGCCAGTGTGGTGTAGCCTTCACTCTTCTACTGTAATGAGCACTGGTACAGAACTCCCAAGGTGGCCAGTTGCAGGCGTAGAATTATATGCTGTAGCATTCATGTGACATGTCACCTACTGTAGCATTTGCTTTGTCTTATCAAACAATAGCCGCTTGAAAACGAGATGTAGAGGCGCACCAGCTATGGCCTCTTTAGGCAGTGCGGATTGGAACACAACCTGCAAGGGAGGGAGAGGGGGAGGAGGCGCGGGGGTGGGGGATGACAAGGGTAGGGATTGGGGGGAAAAAGGGTTTGGAGGGAGTGGGGAAATGGGGGCAGATGCAGAGGCGCACTAGCTGTGGCCTCTCTGGGTAGTGCAGTCTTGGAACTCAACCTGCGAGGGAGGGGGGAGGGCGGGGAGGCGGGCAAGAGTCATGACAAGGGGAGGAATTGGACGGGAGGAAGGCACGGAGAGAAGGAGGGAGACGATGGGAGCGGACAAGGGGGCAAAGGCACATAGGCGGTAGACTCGTTGGGTGGTACAGATTGGTACACAACCTGTGGAAATGAGGGAGTAGAGCGTAAGGAATTGAAGCGGGGAGGGAGGCGCACGGGATGAGGGAAGCTGCAGGGGGCGAAGAGGCAGAAAAATGTTAGGAAGTAGAAAAATATTCAAGTAGACAATGCGAATTAAGCAGGATGTAGCACGGGACTTGCCTTGAATTTCCCCGACTTGCCAAACGGCGACTGGATCGTTCCTTGTGTTCCTGCAAATGGAAAGAAACAACGGAACAAAGAAAAGCTTCTGAGCCGACTCAAAAGCAATTCCCCACCTTGCCAAGCCAAGACTAAGCAATTCCCCACCTTGCTGCAGTCCCACTTCTGCGAATGAAAGAAGAACGCAGACGAGGGGAGAGGGCAGTATCTGCAGTCCCGCTTCCTTTCCCCCCTATCCGCAATCCTGTTCTGTCCTGTTCTGTTGGCCCCCCCTCCCCCCCCCTTCTCACCCAACATGTTTCTGTGCATGGTTTGCACGGTGATGGTGACGGCCCGTTGATCAAAATGTCAATGGAAAGCCAAGGAAATGATGGTCAATGGGTAGGTGGATTAACACAATCTCATCGGAGCAACCTAACACTCTCTTTCTTTTTGCTCAAGCGACCGCCTTTGTACTGCTGCTCTTCCCAAGACCATGATTCAACACAACTTCATCCGAGCACCATGGAGCGTGCCTACCCACTATTCAACCACCTTCCACGGTTGTTACTCTGAGCCCCACGAATTTGGAAGTGTCCGTTTCTTTCTTAAACACCCCTCGACTGATGAGCGAGTGGGAACCAACAAGCTGAGGTGCCGGATGGGGGGAGAGAGGCTTAACGCCCTACAAACAGAATTGCTTGCACCCACGCACCTTCCACAGTTGTTACTCTGAGCCCCACGAATTTGGAAATGTCAGTTTCTTTCTTAAACAGCCCTTGACCGATAAGAGAGTGGGAGTCAACCAGTCATCAGAAGAGAAGGGAGACGCACATACAGCCCAGCACCCACCCACCCACCTTCCACGGTTGTGACTCTGAGCCCCACGAATTTGGAAATGTCCGTTTCTTTCTTGAAGAGCTCTCGACTGAAGAGCGACTGGGAAAGAGGCTTGACGCCCCACATACAGCATTGCTTGCACCCACGCACCTTCCACGGTTGCTACTCTGAGCCCCACGAATTTGGTAATGTCCGTTTCTTTCTTGAAGAGGCCTCGACCGATGAGCGGGCGGGAATCCACCACCCGGTCATGCAGGAAAGAAGGGAGACGCACATGCAGCCCGGCACCCACCCATCCGCCTTCCGCGGTTGTGACCCTGAGCCCCACGAATTTGGTAATGTCTGCTTCCTTCTTGAAGATGCCTCGACCACACCTCAATGCACTTGACCATACCACATCGCGACTTACACTTACCCACCCTGCACAGCAGTCAGTTCGCCCCACCTTCTACAGTTGTTACTTTGAGCCCCACAAACTTGGAGATGTCCGTTTTCTTCTTGAAGAGTCCTCGACCGATAAGGGAGTGGGAGTCAACCAGTCATCAGGAGGGAAGGGAGATGCACGTACAGCCCAGCACCCACCCACGCACCTTCCACGGTTGTGACTCTGAGCCCCACGAATTTGGTGATGTCCGTTTCTTTCTTGAAGAGGCCTCGACCGATGAGCGAGTGGGAATCAACCACCCGGTCGATCACCCCCTCCCTGCTCTTCAGCTTGAACACACGCACGGCCTGGAAGGGGGTGAAGAGAGAAGAGAGGAGAGGGGGCGAATGAGCGTGTGAGGGAGACAGCAATGAAGGAGTGATAATCAAACCACACCTGGCCGATCACCCCCTCCCTGGTCTTAAGCTTGAACACACGCATGGCCTGATGGATAACAATGAGACATGGGGAGGAGCGACATGGGGTAGGATCGAAATGATTGTGGCACTGGAAAAGGGATGCCAGAGCGGTCGAGGGGCTATAATAGTGGCCAGGTTTTTATAGAAATAAAACCTGACCATGATGGATCTTGCTGTACCTGTGTCCAGACCGAGTTCCGCGCCTTGGTCCCATACCTGAGAGCCTGAGTTCATTGTGGTTGGATCAATGGGGGCAACGATGTGGCCATGGAATGCCATGCGGCATGTGTTGGAGTCTGGGTGCGATGGTGGATATAGGAGGGAGGGGAGAGAAAAAGGTAGGACGCAAGGACACAAGGTGAGACTATGCGGCCTTAGAATGCCATGCAGCATGTGTTGGAGTCTGGGTTCGATGGTGGATATAGGAGGGAGGGGAGAGAAAAAGGTAGGACGCAAGGACGCAAGGTGAGACTATGCGGCCTTAGAATGCCATGCAGCATGTGTTGGAGTCTGCATGGCGGAGGGAGGGGGGTTGAAGGATGTGAAAAAAGATAAAACTCTTGCACGGACATCTATCAACGCATGTGTGACATATGTGACTTGTACACATATTGATCAAGCACATGTCAAAGCAGCCGGATGGATGGTACTGATGTGTCTTACGGATGTCCGAGTCGAGCCGAGATGCTATGAGTAACGCGTCACTTGGACAGGCGATCTGCATGGATACACAGGTGCCATGCCGTGCCATGTCGTGCCATGCCATGATATATGCGATGCCATAACATACCAGGTCATGCCATGTCATGCCACGCCATGCCATGCCATGATATATGTAATGCCGTAACATACCAGGTCATGCCATGCCATGCCACGCCATGCCATGCCATGCCATGCCAAATATGAGGACAGACTTAAATGACTGTTGAGAATCTATTGGCTCGGCATTCTTTACTCGATTGAAAAATCACGATTCACCATACGAAATCACAATGATCCGATGTTTCTTGAGCAACGTGGAGGGTTGCAGTTTGCAGGCATGCTATTTTTGAGAATTCTCAAAAATACCCAGCAACGTGGAGGGTTGCAGCCTGCAGGCATGCACAAGAACTGCGTGGGTGAAACCAAGCTAAGGACTCATAAACACCACTGACCCAACCACGAGAAATGCCTGGGTGATGCTTCGTGATGATTCTCGCACGTCTCAGATTTCTGCAATTTCTCAAAGTGCGAAAAGAGATAAAAGATACCTCGGATTCGAACACGAGGAGGGCAAAGTGTGCGTGGGATGCAGACTCAGACGCGTCAGGGCTCTGCTGATCAGGTGCTAAATCTGCAGGACTGTCTTGTAGATTGTCCTGCAGACAAAAGAAGAGAAAGAGCTAGTTCATGCAGTAAAAGGCAAATTCAGATGCGTCGGGGCTCCGCTGATCAGACCCCGGTCCTGGAGGGATGTCTTGTGAGCTTCTCTCCAGACAAAAGAAGTGAATAGGCCAGTTCAAGCAGCAAAAGGAGAGATGTTTTTGAGGAAGACAGGCGCCAGAGCTGGCAGCGGCAAAAGAGGAAGAGGAACGGTATGAAAAGGCACCCATCCACTGGAGTGATTTATCAGATCTTCTTGGGTAACTCACCACCGTACCCTGGGGAATTTATCAGATGGTTCTGGGGTAACTCACCACTGTACCCTGGTGAATTTATTAGATGTTCTGGGGTAACTCACCACCATACCCAGGGGAATTTATCAGATGTTCTGGGGCAACTCAGCACCGTACACTGGGGAACTCACCACATAGGGGTAGTCAAGAGAGAAATCAAATGGTGATGCTGGTAGTGCCAAAGGGAAGGAAGGAGGACGGAAGGGAAGAGGGGAGGAGGAACACCACCATGGGAAATGAATAGCCACATGAGATTGCGAGTAGTGCTGTTGAGAGTTCGAAAAAGCGATAAAAAACAGAGAAGAGGGGAGAGTGCACGATGGGAAGCGCGCCTGAGATGGGGGCTGGCGCGTTTGGGGAGGGATGGGCGAAGAAGGAGACAGCAAGAAGCCTAGTTTCAGGGGGACTTGAAGAGGAGAGGCAATGAGACGAGCACGCGGAGAGGGGAGCTCTCAGTGAGAAGAGCACCTGAGCTGGGGGTTGAAGAGTTTGGGGAGGGATGGTCGAAGAAGGTGACAGCTGTCATGACAGTGGAATGACCCACGGTTACTAGTGAGGGAGTGAGGGACGAAGAGGGAAGGGAGGGGGTAAGGGAAGGAGGAAGGGGGTACGAATAAGGTGAGACAGTTGTCATGCCAGTGGATGTGGAAAGGCCCACAGTTACTGTTGTGGAAATGAAGTAGATTTCTGAGGCGCCTCAAAAATAGACTCCCCACGGTTACAGCAAGATGGAAGGAAGGATGGAAGGGGAGGGACTAGGGGGAAGAAAGATGACAACGAAAGGGGAGACTTTTGAGTCGACTCAAAAGCCCACTGCTGCTGTCATTAGCTAAGTGGAGAAATACGCGTCCAGCGTATTATACGCAAGCGTATTATACGCTAGCGTATATACGCTGTACGCTTCATTATGGGATTGGATACGCTAGGAAATACGCTCTGGCGGGCAGGTATAAAAACAACTCGGGCAGGGGTAAAAAAAACCTGTTTGGGGAGGGAAGAGGGGGGGTTCAGAGCACCAAATTCCCCCCACCAAATGTAGCATCATTTAGCATGGTAATAAATAAATAGTTCAAGCCACCAAGGGCATGTCAAGGGTTCCAAACTCCAACAACCAGCCAACCACCCATCTCAGGTAAGCCTCCCCCAAACCGCCCGCCTAACCCTCTCCTGCTCTGCTCTACAGGTACTCGTCCAGCAGCTCCTCATCTTCGCCCTCCTCATCCTCCTCCTCCCGATCCACCCTGTACCCCGCAGGGACGGGGGCGTCCGGGATGTTACCGGACACCACCCCCGCCCCCTCGTCGGCCATGTGCCAGTTGTGCACAACCTTCCAGTTGTGCGCAACGTAAACCAGATCCTTGCACTTTTCTGAACCCAGCCGGTTGCGTCGGGCGGTGTGGACAGTATCCCACACCGCCCAGTTGCGCTCGCAGCTGGATGCAGACACCGGCTGAGTTAGCACTCGGCAAGCAAGGGCCATGAGCAAGGGGTGGTCAGTGCCGTGCCACTCCCACCACGCCTCCATGGAATAACTTCCTTCCTTCACCAACTTCCGGTCACTGATGGCCTCAGCCGTGCCGAAGCTGCCCCTCAACTTCAGAAAGGCGGCCAACCCTTCCTGCAGGAGGAGTGTGGCACGCTTGGGCAGGCCATCCCTCTGGGGAATCATCACCCCGCCATAGTGGCGGGCAATGAAAGCTTTGAACACATTGGTGCACTCCGTGTCCGGCCCAAAAATCCGCTCCTCCTGGTTGACCGGGTTAAGAATCCGCCCGACCACGTGCAGTGGGCAAGCCATACTCTCATCCCAACGCCGCTTCACAATCTCATTGACGCCCTTCTTGTCTCCCGCACTCAGCACCCCATCCCCCTCCTCCTTCAGCAGTTCTGCCACATTCACAGTGAGCTCAAGCATCAGCTCATAGATGCGGCCCATCATCCCTTTCGTTGCCGAATCCGTCGCCCTCATGGCCTTGAACGGCAGCAGGAGCAGCCTCTTGAAGAGCTCAGCCGCTGGCCACCAGTCCTTATCCATGATCTGGTCGTGGAATGTCTCTGCAGCTGCCTTCTTTGGGCCCACCGCCCACTCCGCCTTCCATGCATCGCAGAGCACCATGGTCACCAGCGTTGACCGCAACTCCACTAGGCGGGACACAGCAATGTGCTGCGTCCCAAACCTGGTCCCCGCCGGCCTCAGCATCTGCAGCCCCTTCCCTCCGTCCACACCCCTGAGATACTGTCGGGTCCAATGGTGGCTGCGGGTGTAGTTGATGAGCTCGCTCGCCCGCCCCACTACCTCCTTGGCCCAAGCCTGCCGTCCCACATCCTCCATAAGGAGGTCGAGCACGTGCGTCGCACACGGCACATGCTCGATGCGCGGATTCTCTGCAATGAGGAGCCGGCAGGCGCTGTGGTAGTTGCTGCCGCCATCGGTGCAGAATGCCACGATGTTCTCGACCCCAACCTTTGCAGGATGGGCCGGAGGAGCCGGGCGATGTATCCCCCGGTCTTTTTCTCCATCTTGCAGTCAATACTCTCGACGAACACTGCGCCGGTGTCATTGACCAGCATCACATTCGCCTGCGGCCTGCCACACTTGTCGGTCATCATGTCGCTGGCAATCGTCACGCCGTGGCGCTTCCAGCTCGACATGACGCCCGTCAATCCCTCGTCAATCCGCTTTGCGGCATAGCTGCAAGCCGGCACCACCCACGTAGTCGCGCTTTGGAGGCACATAGCTGGTCCCCCCGCGCGCGCGATGGACCGGACGGCGTTGCGCCAAAGCGGGTGGTCGGCATGGCGCTCGGAAGGCGGAGGCCGGCAAAGAGGAGGCAAATAGCCTCGTCCGCCGCCGCCTTGGCCGCTTGGGCGTCATCGGACAGGTAATCGGTGATCTTCCGCTTTCCTCGACCACTAACGGCGTCGAGGGCCGACTCCTCCGCCCTAAGCGCCTCCTCCCTCGCGAGCACTTTGGCGGTTTGGAAACGCGGCGGACGCAGCCTGCTCCTCCTTCCCTACCTCCTCGCATTCCGAACCTCGCGCCTACGCATACCATCCCAACTAGTGATGTGCTGTGCGCAGCGGTAGGCCGTCCCGGTAAAGGATACGGGGCAGTACTTGCACCAATACTTTTGCTGCTTGCCGTGCTCCTTATGCTTAAACTTGAAATGCTTAAAGATAGCGTGGGTGGAGTTCTCCAGGAGCTCGTCAGAGGAAGACGCAGCACAGGAGGTTCCCGCGTCGGTTCCGTGGGAACCAGGACTAGGTGAAGGGTTCGACATAGCAACAGTCGCTAAAAAACCAGCTAGCTAGTCGCGCTAGCTTGGAAGAAGAAATGACTGAAGTTAGCGTGCCAGTTTACTTGTACCCTGATTTCGTCGTAGGAGTGAACTGCGCTGAACCCTGCTGGAGTAGAGTAGAGAGGGAGAGGAAGGAGATTTCTTTGGGTGTTGTTTGGAAGTCGCAGATTGGGTGGGATGCTGTGTGGTTGGGAGGGGCGAAGGGGTTGGGTTGACGATTTGAAAAGCCAAATTTCGGTTTGCGACATGGCGAAATCCCTGTGGGGTTTCGTCATGTCGCAAATTTGTCGCATCGTTTTTTGCGTATTTCTTGCCGGGCTGCCCGCAAGAAATACGCTAGCGTATTGCGTACTTAGCTAGCGTACAGCGT